GCTGATGCCAACATGCTAGTATTTGCCATCAAAAAAAACGGAATTTGCCCTCTTCATGTATCCCATATTAAAAACCTAGAGATAAGAAAGTGGTCTGTATGTGTGAATAAATGACAGTCTTTATCTATATATAAGAGGCGGAGACCTCCAGGCTATGTAGATATTACATCAGAGGCAGGAACAGTCCTCCTATTACCCCATTATGATGAGTCATCACAGGGCATGAATGAAATAGAACACTCCACACACAGTTGCTCTTCCATTATTCCATGTCCAGAATCTGAATCCTTTCCTCAGAGCCCATACCACTTTAGGAACCTTGTTCCTAAAAATATCATTAGTTACACTTTCTCTCCAGTGTGTCACACAGAACAGGAACTCAGCATGCTAACTCTACTTCAGCTGTCCTTTCAGTGACTGCTTACATGGCCAAATGTCCAACAGCATCAACCCCTGCACAGACCTGCCCAAACAACATGTGCCCTAATGCTGGGCTAAAGAAGGGACAGCAGAGAAAGAGAGAGATGGTGTGATAGATATTACAAACACATTCTTTTTTTGTTTTTGGTTGGATTTTGGTCAATAAAAATAGTATTTGCCACAAGTTGTGACAAATCAATGAGTTATTGTGTTTCAGGGTTGATTCACAGACAAGCAAAGCACACAGAGAGCATTACAGGCTAATGTGTATTGAAATGTCATCGAAACCTACAGTAATGTTGTGGAGAATATGGTGGGTGAGTTCACTCTGTCTTTCCCTCTCAGTGCACTGCTACATCTTTAGAATTCTCTGCCATTATTCTGACTGAGATGTTTCATTAAAGCTCTGAAGGTTCAAGTAGTTTGTACAGAGAAATTGTGAAAAGAGAAAACAAGTACACACACACACACCATGCATTTATTCCGTCTGTAAGCAAGGCTTAGTAAGAAAACTCAAAGCAATCATTACGCATTCTGGAGATGTTTCTGTAGTCTTATCTGAGGCATTAGATATGTAGAAACAAGCGCTTTGATTGCTTGAATAACTAATCTATAAATCTCCACCTTCACAGATGCGTTGGTTGTTTGTTTTTGTCTTGTGCTTTGAGCATGTGTTTATTTCAGACACTTTGGTTAACAGGTATAGTTGGCCTCAGGCCTCCTTTTCTCTGGTCTTACTCTACACAATTTCAAAATCTACTGCCGTGCAGAAATACTTTGGTCTGTGCTTTTATTTGTTTTGGACTACAAATGGCATGTAATGGTTTTACGTTCAGCTTGGGCATGGAAGGAATTACTGTATATTGAACCCTGGACAGTGTAGTGTATGTAGAGAGTCTAAAATCAAAATCATCTGAGTGTGCCTCATTTGATCCCTATTTCTGACTGACAGAGTTGAGGTGTGAACATATACACATTATAAAGTTATCAGTGTTAGATATTTCGTTTGTTTCCTATTTGCTCTGATGTTTGTGTGGGTTTGCATGTCTGCTAGCAGCCCTGCTTCCAAAGCTCAGTGACCTCTCCCAGTCACGTGCTGTGGCGCCACAGGAGGTAGCTCGTGGTGGTAGGTCAGGAGACAGGAGGGATGTTGGGGGAAGAAGAGTAGAGGGCTGAATGAGGGTTAGAAACACAAACAGGCTGAAGTCAATTCAATACATAGGTAATAACATGACACACATATACACGCAGATGCAGGGTACCTCGCAGCTTATCACATTTGAACGATTTATATATTACTTTTTGATACTGACATATAGGAAAATAGATCATGTACATATGTGATAAATTAAACACACTGTCAATGCTAATAGACATCTAATCGTTTCTGCGTCAATATGTCACTCTAGGTTTTAAATGTGAAAGAGCCCGGCAGACCATACTTGTAACAGTACAAGATAAAACAACACAAAAGCTCCTTCAAGTTTGGTCCATTTTAGAGTTATGTGGCCAATTGGTTGGGGATTATTATTTCATTCATTTGAACATGGCAGGTACAAACCCTATTTAATGCAATGTATGAAAGCCATTTGAGCTTGTATGTATAACTTAATGATGTTTTAACTTGAATATAGCTTATGATTACATTACTGTATGAGATGGCATTCCACCTTGTTAGTCTGTGATTGTGAAGACATCTGTTCTAACTCTCCCAGGTTCTGAGTAGTTTTTGCCTTGCTAGGATCCTAACCCTACATGAGGAAAAATGACTGAGACTGCATCTTCACAAACTAATCTATGGACAGGGTAAGAAGAAATAACCAGTGAAAGGATTGGGAAGTATCATGGTTAGGTTAAGCTTCAGACTTTCAGACCAGTGTGTAGGCTTTGTTTTGGGGCAGCCCACAGGGTTTTTACTGTGAAAGGTGGCCCACTGCAGTGGCACTTCAGCCCAATGGATGGCAATGTTTCACACAGATACAGATAACTTTTTGGGCACAAGTTCTTGCGTTTTAAATCCAATATCCAGAGTAGTGGAGTAATTTAGCCTCATGCTAGGACACTTTCAGAATCAATGTGTGATAAGCCTCTCTTTCTCCTCTTTAAAACCATCATCTTGGGCCTGTCATGAGAGCTATAGCTGGCTCCTCTTGAAGGGAATCAGTGGTGTATGCTCACATCAATCATAGGGGGAGCTATAAGAACTGCGACTCCAGAAGAAAACCACTATCGCTGCCAACATCCCTCCTCATAACATATTTTTGAGATTACACACTGAACAGACTTTGCTAATCTGGTAGAAAATAAGGATTTATGAGAAATGAAAATTCCTTTGATTAAAAAATGAACTGGAAAGAAATCATATTCTGGACATTGTACATTACTTTAAAGGTTTCTGTTATTTGGCAAACACATTTTTGGACCTCTTTAAATACTATGTACATTCACATTAAGTTACTGATGTTATTTTAAATATATTTATATGTATCTATATTATATGACACCCTATGGGCAGTTGCTGAGGTTCCATTCAGTAGCTGAATTCTCTTCATATTGCACCTCCGTCCTCTCACTGTCTTACAATGCGAGCAATATAAAATATTCTACAAGAGGATTTTCTTTTCATTGATAAAGATACAACAAATTGAACAATAAGTACAACATGGGGCTTTCTCTCCTAGTGTCTTTGCTCCTGCTTCAATGTTCAGCCCAAACTTAAAAAGAAGAGAAGTCCCTCTTTCTGAAAACGCACAAGGGCAGCACAGGTGGACACCAAGAGACAGAGACCATTTTTTATCGAGAAACAAAAAAAGGAATATCTACAAGCAGGTTTGATCCCTTCCCAGATATCTGCTCAGAGGTTGTGTCCAAAGGGGGTAGGGTTGACTGAGGGAGTTTTAGGGAGGAACATACAGGAAAGTGGGGGGGAGGTAGAAATAGAGAGAGAAGAGAACTGAGTCTACACTGCTTATGAGGCTCGTTAGTCTGTTTGTCATGCTTTGGAAAAGGAGGAGGGATGGGTGAAAAGGTACGACTCATTGAAATGTCTCCTCTTCATAGAGTTAAAAAAAACATCATTAGGAACAAAAGTACTATCCATACTGTACAATGCTTGCTTGGACAGATGATCCGTTTTTTGAGGTTCTTTTTGGCAGTTCCAATGCCTTTCATCTTCTTTTTGAGGCCAAGTAGCTGTTTCTTTGTCCAGTCCATTGCCATTCACATAAATCACTGTCTCATTCAGTGGTTCGTCCTTCCTTTTCAATTGTCTTTTGTGGCAAGCGTTTCAAATGTTTGCTCTGGATTTCTCTCTCTGGATCACTGTGGGTATTTTCAGGCTGACAGAGGCCAGCTACAGTTCACTCAATATAGAGTTTTTGTGTGAGTCCTGTTGTTGCTCTACAACCTTTATCTCCCAGGGCTTTTCTGCTGAGGAGGTGAAGTTGCTTGCGTTTGGTTACAAGATGAGTGCTTCTCCTTGTCTCTTAGTAACTTTGGCAGTGTAATAAAAAGGTTTGGATCATGTTTTTTTCCCTTCTACTTTGAATTCATTTGGGTTCACATCGGTACAGAGAGGTGAGTCCGGTGTCATTTTCTTGGCTCGCTAGCAAGGTAGTTAACAGTTTTTTTTCTTTCATCATTATTATTATTTGTTTCGAATATTTGGACTTTTCATTGTCTTCTTTAAAGCCCCCAAAATGAATCATCAGATAAATAATTAGCCGTATTATGGAAGAGTTTCTGAGGAATAAATCACACCATGAGTATATCTTATCCCCTCTCCTCCATCAGAAGAGGGGTATCCTGACTGGTGTCTGGCTTCTTAGATAGGGGACCTCAGTCAGGACATGTCCATGGCCCAGTACACAGAGGAGCCTGTTCTATAGACACATCTATCTATCCATCTCTCAGAGGTCTGGGCTGTTAGTGCACATGCTGGGGGTTAAGCGTCAACCCACTGCTGCTGCGTTAAAGGGAAATCCTCTCCAAGTGCTAAATTTAGTTATCTCTTATTTACTATTGTTTCACCACAATAAGTGTGGTACCACAACGAGTCTGATGCAATGCAAGCCCCCTACATACACAGCATTGACAGGGCTTATGTTACCGAGGCCACGTGTTGGTCTGGCATATAACAAAGGTGATCTTCACACAACATTATCAGAGTTCAACAACCAAGTCTGGTGTGTTTTTTTGTAATAGGACTTTAAGAGAGGAAGTTCTGCTTCTGCATTGGTTTATTTTGAGCATTCAGTAAAGTAAGCCCTAGCCATGCTAAACACTACAGTGGACCCCTTGACTAGTTTCGAGTTTGACAGAGAGAAAGTCTGTATAGGCTGAGAGATAGTCAGACATTTTTGGGGGGGGGAAGTTGAGGAGTTGACAAAACGAGGCCTTCAGGTAGCTAAGAAGTAGTCGACGGTGCAGTATTCACGGTGGTCGCACTACAGATGCAGTTCAGAAGAAGGAAAGGGTGCAGTGCGATCGATGGAGATTCCTCAGTTTGTTTAGGATGGATGGCAGCTGCACTGTAGCGTCAGTGGGAGTGACTGGGCGTGAAAGGGCGTGGCAGGGTGGGGTCAGCGAGAGGTGGCGTCCAGCAGTGCAGGGGTAGCTGGGGTGGTGGAGCGTGAGGCACTGCTGGAGCTAGCCTCCTTAGGACTGCCGGAAAGACTGCCTCCCCCACCACCGCTGGTCTGGCCGGGCAGGGAGAGTGGACCAGGGGGGGTGCTCTCTGAGTGTGTGGGGGGTGCGCTGGAGGAGGGGGTGCCCAGAGGAACACTGCTGCCCCCGGGGAGGCCCTGCAGACCCTGGCCACAAACGTGGTGGTGCTTCTCCCAGTCTTTGTGCTGGCAGAAGGAGCCGCAGTAGCGCGCTGTGTTGCAGCCGCTGCACGTCTCACTGGCCTTGCGTCCACAGTTCCAGCAGCTCTGGAGAGACAGTGGGAAGAAGGCATAGAGTTGATAAAATAAATCTCTGGTCGTCATATTATTCGTTATATTATTATACAAATATCATTGTTACCACTTTTCAAATACTGTCATGCTATCCACAGCTGAAGTGTTTCATGTTCTGGGCAACAAAATCCCACATTTATTTTCTGGGGCTAGAAATGCCCCAAACCACTAGGTGGACTGTCCTGTCCTGTCCTGTCCTGTCCTGTCCTGTCCTGGCCCTGACACTGTTGCTCCGACCATCCGCTTGTGGCTGCTGTTATTCAGACAGGCGGCTGGATTCACTCTTTAATAATGAAATGAAAACATGGTGTTGACTCAGACCAGGTGCAGCCAGCTGTGGCTCACATTAACACCACAACCAGACAGTGGCCTGTTTAAGATATACACATTCTGTGCAGAATATGGGATTTTGATAGAGAATTGATAGGTTAAACACTGCTCTGTCTGTTGATCTGTGCAGAATCTGTCTGTGTAGCTTGAATAGACACACATTGCATTGAGGACTCTGGCTTGTATAGAACTGATGAATGAGCTGTTACTGAGAAGCAAATGTTTATGGGGGGGGGGCATGTTATGAAGTGTGTGTGACAGTAAGTCATGTGAAGAGAGGGTGTGTGTGACAGGACTATTTTGAGGAAGTGCGGTCTAAAAGAAGTGGGTTAGCTGTGTGACAGTTTGTTATGTAAAACAAGTGGTTGGTGGGATGAGGTGACACGATCGATTGTGAGTTTGAGGTTTGGAATGTGACAATGTGCTTTGTGATGCAGTGCAGCAGTGAGTGCCTGTGTTTACAGACAGTAGGGTGATGAGTGTATCTCTCTTTATGGCTGCTGCTGTGCTGTGGTATGTGAGAGGGCACAGGGTGTGGGGCATGGGGTACAAAGGGGTTCTTCGGCTGTCCCCATAGGAGATCTGTTTTTGGTTCCAGGTTTTTGTGTTCTACCTGGAACCAAAAAGGGTTCCTAAAATGGGGACAGCCGAAGAACCCTTTTAAGGTTCTAGATAGCATCTTTTTTTCTTAAGGGCTATTTATACCCTACGGAGACGGACCCTACGGGGCGTAGCGTAATGTAGCAATGTAGTTTTTCATCACAAAAGGGGTGGCTCCTTGTAGTGTGCTCGGACATTCTACGTACTCCCGTACCACTAGAAAATTGTAACGCGCTGTATCATTCCTTGCGTAGTCATGGGGGCAGTAGGCAATGAAGCTTGCTTGGTTCCTTGATCTGATATATAGGCTGTGCATCAAAGTAACCTATTTTGCATTGATAAATGAATATAATCTCAGCGACTGTTCAAACAATAAACCAAACAACATTATAGCCTTATTAGAATCCCCCCCCAAAATGTATTGTGTTTAGAAGTAATAACTATTGATTCCAGGCTATTGTTAAAAACAGCTGTGAGATATGTGCTTTTTCTCTGTGACCAAAACATGATGACATTCTATTTTTAGCTGATATAGGAGTGAATACATTGAAGCGGTATATCAAATTGGGATAATTTTGTAGGTTACACAGGCAAGTATAAGAATTTGCCAGGGCATATTATTTAATTATAAATCTGATTATTTCACATGGCGTTGTGGGAAGCTAAAAGCACAGATTGAACAATGAGAAAGATATTTCACCGGATGTATACATTTGAAGCATCCGCTTGGCGTTTCCACTCACTTCCAAATATGGCCCAGCGCACGCAAGCATTTAGCTCTACGCATGTTAAGTGTGTGGAAACCTTAAGAGTGTAGGATAGTGTGGGGGCATGGGGTTGGTGATAAGGCTGTGATGCTCACTTCGCTGGAGTCCTCCTGCTGGTTGATGACGGTCAGTGCATCCTCAGAGGCCTGTTTCCTGGCCTCGGCCAGCGCCCGCTCCATCTTGGACCTCTCAGCGGAGATCATCTCATGGGCCTTCCTCTCAGCGTCCGACACAGCCTTCTGTAGCTCCGACATGGCCTGCCTCTTTACCTCGTTCACTGCCTCCTCTGTGGAGAGAGAGAAGGAGAGAGCGAAAGAGAGAGAGAGAGAAAGAGAGAGAGGCATCAGTCCCCATGACCGCTCCTGCACCCTCATGCTCTACTCTGTCATGTTTTATTGAGGCACTCTAAGCTCTCCATTTGTTTTATCTCGGCAAACAGATGTACATCATCCAAGATTTAAAACATTCTATCAGAAAAAGAAGCCTGTTAATAATTAATTAAAACACGTCTGGTAACAATCATTTCCAGCGCTGACAACAGCAGATGTCTCCAAACTTTGTTCACAAACTTGCCTATTAACCCAGTATTCTGTGACTCTCTGCTTTTGATCATTTGTTTTCTGAGTGAATGAACAGAGAAGAAACAGACATAAGAACTGAGGAGTGAAAATGGCTTCCATATCATTGATGCATAACTTCGCTAACAGGGGGTAACTGTGATAGAGGTCCTATCCTCTGCCAACTCGTGTGAGTGAATAGGCAGTGTTTTTAGAAAAGTCAGGTGTGTGGACTCCTTTAGAAGCTAGTCCAAAATAGAAGCTAAGGCTGGTCCAAAATAGAAGCTAAGGCTGGTCCAAAATAGAAGCTAAGGCTGGTCCAAAATAGAAGCTAAGGCTGGTCCAAAATAGAAGCTAAGGCTGGTCCAAAATAGAAGCTAAGGCTGGTTCTCATTAGAAGACAGTGTGTGAGTGGTTAACCTGCTAGGAAGGAATCACGATCCCTCTCATTATCGTATTAATGTTACAAATAGAACAGAATATAACATCAGAGATTAATTTTGTTTTAGCTATTGCAGAATTCTGTCTAGAGAAAACAGCTGCCCCAAATAATACAACTAATTAAATCTTCATGTTCATTACCAAATGGACATTTTATGGCCATGAAAAATATGATATCAAACTGCCAACTGGCACCGTATATGGGCCAAGTAAATGTATTGTACAACCAAAAGGAGGGGAAGTTGTATTAATAGATGATTCCCCTCCCTCCTACACACAGACATAGTCAGGTGGTCCCCCAGGTGAGTGAGCCTCCTCTGGGCAGACTGGAGGTGAGAGCCACACCGTGGTCTATTCTCACTCCCTGATTCTTCCAGTCAGTTGGTGTAAAGGAGGGGAGTCATAAATAACTGTCATATTTCTCCCTCTGCTCTCTCTCTGGTCCAGCTGTCTGGGGCTGCTGTGCTGAGCTGGGGCTGGGGCTGGGGCTGGGGCTGCTGTGCTGAACTGGGGCTGGGGCTGGGGCTGGGGCTGCTGTGCTGAACTGGGGCTGGGGCTGCTGTGCTGAACTGGGGCTGGGGCTGGGGCTGCTGTGCTGAGCTGGGGCTGGGGCTGCTGTGCTGAACTGGGGCTGGGGCTGGGGCTGCTGTGCTGAACTGGGGCTGGGGCTGGGGCTGGGGCTGCTGTGCTGAACTGGGGCTGGGGCTGGGGCTGGGGCTGCTGTGCTGGACTGGGGCTGGGGCTGGGGCTGGGGCTGGGGCTGCTGTGCTGAACTGGGGCTGGGGCTGCTGTGCTGAACTGGGGCTGGGGCTGGGGCTGGGGCTGCTGTGCTGAACTGGGGCTGGGGCTGGGGCAGGGGCTGGGGCTGCTGTGCTGAACTGGGGCTGGGGCTGGGGCTGCTGTGCTGAACTGGGGCTGGGGCTGCTGTGCTGAACTGGGGCTGGGGCTGGGGCTGGGGCTGGGGCTGCTGTGCTGAGCTGGGGCTGGGGCTGGGGCTGGGGCTGGGGCTGGGGCTGCTGTGCTGAACTGGGGCTGGGGCTGCTGTGCTGAACTGGGGCTGGGGCTGGGGCTGGGGCTGGGGCTGCTGTGCTGAACTGGGGCTGGGGCTGGGGCTGGGGCTGGGGCTGCTGTGCTGAGCTGGGGCTGGGGCTGGGGCAGGGGCTGGGGCTGCTGTGGCCCAGCGCACGCAAGCAATTAGCTCTACGCATGTTAAGTGTGTGGAAACCTTAAGAGTGTAGGATAGTGTGGGGGCATGGTGTGGGTGATAAGGCTGTGATGCTCACTTCGCTGGAGTCCTCCTGCTGGTTGATGACGGTCAGTGCATCCTCAGCAGCCCCAGACCCAAAACTGCGGCGGCTAGTCCCGTGTGTATGTGCTGAATATGAGGATGTGTGTGTGTGTGTGTGAGAGAGAGTCTGTCTCCTCTGCTCAGAAACTAGAGAAGTAGTTTGTATTCCATTCATCCCCTCAACACCTCCCACACACGTCTACCCTTGCTTCTTCATCCTGCCCATCTCTACCTTCATCCATCATTTCATTTCTCTCATTTTTCCCTTCTTATTGGTGCATGCTTTTTTCTAACTATTGGTACAATCCTCTGCTGCTCAATTATCAGGCTTAATGCATGCACCACTAAGATTAGTTTGCAAATTTAATTAATTCTTATCAAGGAGACTGCAGAGCAGATGCTAGGGCAATTAGCACTTAATGCAAAACACGGGGGCAGCAATATTAACGTTTTAATTCCAGAGGGATCTGGCAGGTTTTTCTTTTTCACACTTCAGACCTTGTTTTTCAAAGGCGGCATAGTCTCTCAACCCTAACTAGACCAGAGAATACGTGTCTTTTTTTAATTAAAGAGATGGACTGCAGTTATGATGTTTGCTGAAGAAGCAGTGGTAATAGGACAGAGGTGGTGCAGTAGTGAATAACATAGGAGGGGTCTCACACACACACAAACACACACACACACACACACACACACACAATACACTAGGGGGAGATGGGAGCTGTTATACTTACCCTGCTTATTTTGGAGTTGCTTTAGTGCTGGGGAGAGTGGGATACTTGTAGCACCTGTATGAAAAATAACTGCAATTAAAATAGTTTTTCTGCTGGTGAAAATGCAGCACATTATCTCGCAGACAGCAGCATCTTTCCCCCACAGTATTGAAATATGACTGCAGGATAATGATGTGTTTGTTCTCAGTAGAACCAAGGCTGCGTCATAACTGACTCTGCTTGCTATATAAGGCCCAGGCACTGCAACACACTAACCCACCCCTGCTACATATACCTGAATCAGACTGCTCTGCGTACGAATGGACATCATTAGTTAATAAGGCTGGGTCCAGATGCCCAACATATAGATGCATGATCTGACTGGTTCAAGTATACTTAAAACAATTAGTTAAAAGCTGTCACATTGAAAAGCAGTATTATATGAACTAAGCTTTACTACTCCTAAGCAGAGGATATCCCTCCTCCTCCTCCTCCTCTGTTCTCCTCCCTGCCCAACAGACTAGTTAACTGCAAGCCCACTCTGCGCATCGCGCTCTGGAACTGCACCAGGTTGGTTGGCTTCATGCACTGACTGCAGTTCCGTCAAGGTTAGGTGGGAACACTACACTAATGACCACGACCCCGGCCCTCCAATCCCATCCCTGTCTTTATGTAACTATGGCAACAGGACAGACAGGGCCCTCTTCAGGGCTATCTGCAGTGGAGGTTGCAGTGAGGGTGACAGTGACGGGACTGGGACAGTGACAGTACAGTAAGGACGTGTGGTTACTCACCAGCTTTCCTCCAGATCTCCTCAGGTAGGTAGCCAGACGCAGGTCTGTGCAAGAAGTCCCTATGAATCTCTGAAACACAATCCAGACCAGACCATCAGTCAGTCCACCACGCTCTCCACACATTCACACTTTATGGGCCAAATCCTAACTGGAAACAACTCTATATTTTGCACAGATTTCCCACTAATGTCAGTGCATGGTTTACCAAAAGCCCAAGCTACATGCATAGATTTCTAGTTAGGATTCAGCCCTCTGCGTCCCAACCACATGAACACACTCAAACGTAAGCTTCATTTGGCTTTGTAACATTTAATTCCATCCCCCAGACCAACTTCTCTGTGGCCATGCGACGCCAGCATGCTCTCCTCTTTCCTCAGAGCAGACAGAACACACTGAGGAACTGACTGAGGGACAGTGTGGAGTGAGGAGTGACAGCCTGCATGCTGGAGGCCTGGTGGTGCTGGTGTCTGCAGCAGTGGATGTACCTATGGGCTGCTGTGTCTCGACGTTGTTAGGAGTGTTGGAGGAGGAGTTGTGAGGAGGTAGAGGTAGAGGAGGAGGAGGAGGGCGTGGCTGGCCGTTGCTCCCACCTTTTTTCATATCCTCCACGTCGCTGTAGCGTCGGATCCAGTGGTTCATCTCCTCGCGGTCGGCCTCCTGGCAACGCCGCAGCACCGTGAGAGACCGCCGGGTCTTCTCCACCATGTCCATGATGCAGTTGAGCAGCTGCAGGGGGGAGGAGGGAGGGAGGGAGGGAGGGAGGGAGGGAGGGGGAGACATGATCAGAGCGCCGCTCTACTCTCTGATTTACTCTCCTACAGTTCAGACTCTGACAACAGGCACCGCCAGCTGCTCTCTGTGGTGCTAAAGAGTGGTAGAGCCTCTGCACCTAAAAGTGTACCGTTAAATCAGGGTCACATAGTTTTATTCGGAAGTACTGTATAGTGTGCCATATAACAGAACAGTAAATGCATTCTGAATTTAGTCTATGAAAAACACAATCAGGCCTAACCTTCATCAAGATGTCAAATTGTATGAGAACAGTTTCATTTATGGTAATTTGAGTGATTTCTTGGGAGCAATCCAGTGTCTCTAGAATCAGTTCTTGCTGTTTAGGTGCAATAAAACGTTTCTAAGGAGCACTCAGGAGTGTGTGACCCTGTCCCCGTTTTAGCAGCGAGAGCCAGCGGTGCTGAGTATGTGTGTATGTGTGTGAATGAGGTTGAGTGGTTATACAGAGCAGTGAAGTAAAAATGGCTGTAACAGCTGTGCTACCGATGGAAAAGGCCTAACCAATTCATTCCACCCCTGTGCTCCCTCCAAGCCCCTGTCTGCTAAAGCCTTTCAGCCACACCCCCTCCCCTTGTCTTCCTCTTTATATGTTTCTTCACTAACTCTCTTTCTGCCTTTGCCCTATGCCTCCTTCAACTCCCGGTCTGCAAAATGGTTTTTACATTCACCCCCTTCCTTCCATATTCTCTCTTTCTATATATCTCTCTCTCTCTTTCTCTGCCTAATTATCTCTCTCTCTCTTTCTCTGCCAACTTCTCTCTCTCTCTCTCTCTCTCTCTCTCTCTCCTCTCTCTCTCTCTCTCTCTCTCTCTCTCTCTCTCTCTCTCTCTCTCTCTGTTAGCTATATTTATTTCAGTAGAGTGTTTCTAATTTGGCAGGGGCCCAGCACAGGCCGGTTCCCTCCATGACTGCAGCCCTTGTCTCAGCTGCTCTCCCCAGCTGGAGCTGTCCTCCACTGGGTCCCTCGCTCCATCTGTGGCCCTTTTTAGTGCCCAAGTGTGTGTGTGAGTGTGTGCGCTCGCGTGCGTGCGTGGCGTGCACGCATGTGTGTGTATGAGTGAGTGTTCCAGCCTTGGTAAAGGTGAGGGCAGCGCAGAGCGCTCGCTCCAGTCTTTGTATGCTGGCCAGAGAGGCCTCAGCTGTCCATTGCTGACATGGACACAATCCTCTACAGACCTCCTAAGGTCAGCTGTCCATCAAATGCAAACTCAGCTGAGGTTTCAGTTCTTAAATCTGTCAGCAGCACCCTGTTTCCTCGCATCCCACCTCCCTGTCCTCCATCCTCCTCTGTCATATCATCTACAGCACTGAGAGGTTGAAAGATTTCTACTACACACTTCTCTGTAGGATAGGAGATATAAGGATAAAACCGGGGAGCCCTACCCCAGCAACACGTACATTATCGAGGTGCTTCCACTCCTCAGCCCACTCCCGATCTGTCAGGCGGTGATCGATCACTTCCTCCTGGCGTGCTCCGTGCACGGCTGCAACACAAACACACAGTCCTGCGTTCAGCACTTAGGCACCATCACCATATATGAGCCATTCTGGTTCCAGTCTCCTCCACATACAGGACACTAGGGCTCTAACACTTCCTTATACAGTGTGAGCCATTACGGCTCTAACAGAGGGAAGACGTATATGGATTCCTAGGGGGACATACCCAAGCATGTGTCACTATAGGCTTTTTATAGATGCACTACCATGGGAATTTAACACCAAACTGTGACAACCTGTCATTGTTCTTTAGAGACGCCATGAGGCCCTCTCTCTCTCCCTCATCCCTCCCTCGCCCCTCTCTCATTCCCTCCCTCTCTCACCTGTCTGCCGGTGCCTGTCCCGCGCTTCGCGGTGCTCCGCTGTGTGACGGTAGGCGTCACGGTAGTGGTGGGCCAGCGCCATGTCCTCTAGGCGGTAGTGTTGGGGGGCAGGGGGGTTGGGGTGAGACAGGCCGTTGGGGGGGTGCGTGGGCAGGCCGTTGGGGGGCGGGTGGGCTGGCAGGCCAGTGCTGGGGCTGAAGCGCTGGCTGGGGCTGATGGTGCAGGGCCGCTTGGCCAGGTGCTCCGGGTGGTGGCCGTCTCTCTCTGAGTCTTTGGTCCTGAAGGAAGAGAACACAAGTCAACACTGTTACATTACCTTTATACGTGTTACCGCCGTATCAGACACTTTCATTCACTTTAGAATTGTTAACATCTCATAGAATATGCCATACTGAGGCAGTTGCTAGGGAACAGGAATGAGATTTGTTATATTCAGGATGTAGCCGTATACTTAAGGCATTCTAGATTTACTGGGCTGCTAACCTGTTGTTGTTACTAGAAGACATGAGCAGTAAATCTGATGGCGTTTCAGCAATCCCCCCTACTGAGATGCACACTGTTCACTCCAGACAGAATCTACTCCAAAGTGTGTGCACAGCTGTACGCCATTTGTAAAAAATACTCTGTATACTCAGTGTCTCGAGGTGGGATCCAAATTCTTAATCCTAATATCCCTCAACTCACTCTCTTAAATAGCAAAAGTAGCCTCTCCCACAGACCTATGGTGCTGTACTGTGTCTGTGTCTGGCAGATGTTCAGTGACGGTCCTGTTTTGGGAGCCATCTGGACAGTTTAAACGCCGGTGTTGATATTAATCTGTTTAGCTTGGTGAAACAGCCAGGCATTCAGAGGTAAATTGCTCTCTATCATCAAAGGCAAATGAAAGGAATTTCAACGCCATGTGGATGCGAGTGTGTTTTTGTTTATGACCGCATGCGATGGTGTGTATTACACAGTATGTGTGTATGTGTGTGTGTGTGTGTATTTGTCCCCTCTTTGTTTACGTGATGTAGCCCCCCCACCATCCACCCCCAATCCCCTCTCCACTTCTGGCAGGCTGTGGGTCGTGGGGTGAGACTGTGACGGGGGATGTGTCTGTCTCTGTCAGTGCTCTAACCCACCACCAATATCTCACAAATCATAGCAACAGCTGGCCCAGCCCGCTGTGACACTGTAAGCCAGGGGTTGGGAGCCGGAGGTGAGTAGATTACAGATAGGATTGGCTGTTCCTCCACCCTCTCTCTCTCCCCCTCCCTTTCCCCCTCCCTCCCTCCATCCCCGTCAGGATCAGCTCAAGCAAGGGTTCAGCAGGATCTGGACACATTTCTGACATATGGGCAGCTTCAGAAAGACACACTGACTGACTAACTGACTGAAGGAGAGGAGAGGAGAGGAGAGGAGAGGAGAGGAGAGGAGAGGAGAGGAGAGGAGAGGAGAGGAGAGGAGAGGAGAGGAGAGGAGAGGAGAGGAGAGGAGAGGAGCGGCAGCCAGAGATAAAGGTAGGGGGAGAGAGATCGATGGGGGAGGAGGAGAGTAGTGCTGTGGTTTTGTCTGTCTTAAAGTCCAGATCTGTCTCCCCCTCCATACGACCCAGTGTGTGGGGCAGATATGGCAGCAGGCTGCTGTGGAGAGGGCAGGGAAGTGTATAGGACAGTGAGGGCATTGTCTGTGGGTTGGACTGAGGACATCTCCTCATACTGTACTGGGGCTGCTGACAGAGCCACTGCTGCTGCTGTGGTTATAGCGTGACGTCCACAGCATCTGGACTTATCCTCCTCTCCTCCTCCTTCTCCCCTCGCAGACAGCTGGCACAGCCTGCATCGCCCTCCCTGCCTGGCATCAGGGCTGCCCAAACTTCCGCCTCCCGCACAGAGGATTTATAACCTCCCCCTTGTGGCTTGGCATGTCCAAATACCCAGAAATAATTCAATTATGTGTGTGTGTGTAAGCCTGTGTGTGTTTTTTCAGTTGTGTCTATGCTATAAGATGGAGGGAGAGGAGTGATAAGTTGTCTTACAGCTGTGGTATGTGACGTGTCTGCATAGTGTGTGCATTTTGAGTGTGTGTGTATTTTGAGTGCGTGTGTTGTATTTTGAGTGTGTGTGTGTGTGTGTGTGTGTCGGTGGTCACTCAGTACCTGTCGGGGGTCCTCCTCTTGCCATGCTCGTTGATCTCCATCATGATCTCGGAGGAGTCCAGGGGCGAGCTGGCGTTGGCGTCCAGCAGCAGCTGCTCATGCTGGGCCAGGTACTGGGCGGGAGTCTGCTTGGCCATCCGCGCACAGTGGAGGAGCTCCCTCTGGAGCAAGGGCAGGTTCGCCTGGGAGAGGAGAGGGAAGGAGGGAGGAGGGACAGGAGGAATGAACAGAGAATATATGGTAAGTGGAAATGGGTGAGAGGAGGAGGAGGAGGGTCAAGGTGGGGAGGTGGGAGTTGAAGATGAGGGCAGATCGAGAGAGGAGAGAGATCGGTATGAGAGACCGTTCAATATAAATAAATCGTTTTAGAGTGAAGATATAAGCATAGAGTGGGATGGAGAGACAAAGAGGCAAGGGCTGGATTGAGAGCAGAGAGAGAGAGAGAGAGAGAGAGAGAGAGAAGAGAGAGAGAGAGAGGAGCGAGGAGAGACTTGAGAGGAGAGAGAGAGAAAGTGAGAGAGAGAGAAAAATTGAGTGAGAGAGAGAGAGTTTGAGAGAGAAAGAGAGAGGAGAGATTGAGAGAGAAAGAGAGAAAGTGAAAGAGAGAAAGATTGAGAGAGAGAGAGATTGAGAGAGAAAGCGAGAGTATGAGACAGGGAGGGTGAGATAACACAGACCCACCACCACACATTCCTCCCAAGCGTCTGTCTCTCTCAGAGGGAGGAAGGGGGAGAGAGGAGGGGTAAGTGGGTGCTGTCAGAGAGCTCAGTCAGGCCGTCACTTTGACAAAGCACAGCGCCGGCTGCCATGTCACAGATGTGTAACCTCATGGCACACCAGGCGGGCTGGAAAACTGTCCTAATGACACGAGGCCCTGAGCCATCCTCTGGATACTGCTAAAGGCACGCTACGCCACTCTCACAATAATAATAATGTCCACTAATGAGACAGCTAGCGCCCACCAGACACTATCTATCTATCTATCTATCTATCTATCTATCTATCTATCTATCTATCTATCTATCTATCTATCTATCTATCTATCTATCTATCTATCTATCTATCTATCTATCTATCTATCTATCTATCTATCTATCTATCTATCTATCTATCTATCTATCTATCTATCTATCTATCTATCTATCTATCTATCTATCTATCTATCTATCTATCTATCTATCTATCTATCTATCTATCTATCTATCTATATATCTATCTATATATCTACTGTTTCTAGCACACTGTGGTGATGCTGCCTGGTTGATAGTTAACACCTTCCTATAAAGTAGATACTGTATGTCTTTCCCACACTGAGCTAACCAAGATCTCCGTAGTGAATGTATTGTATGTATGTGAATGTATTTGTGTTGGTATGTGGTGTGTGGAATACATTCCATCCACAACCGTACTCGCCACCACCATGTCTGCAATTATAGTTAATAACCAGGCATGGCTCCAGCTTGGCCGCCCCCCTGTTGTCCCCCATATGTCCCTCTGCTCTGGGAATAAACAGAAGGGACAGAGAGACAGAGTGTGTGGGACAGACAGGAATGTGTGCCCTGGTCACCACCAAGCTGCACGGCCAGCACTCAGCACCGACACCGACACACAGACACGCACACACAGTGTCAGCAGGACTGCCCCTCCCACCGTCAGAACCGTCAGCAGTGTCCCTTAAGGCCTCAGTACCAAACGTTCCCTACTGTCACATGTGTTACATATTGGACAGCTGGCATTGTGACTTCTGGACCACAGCAGAGTAATGTGTTATGCATAATGACAGTTGTTCGGAAGGATGGACTTTGTCTCTCTCTCGCTTTGCTCTCGTCTCTGTGACTGTGGGTTTGACAATGCAGTGAACAGGATCAGGCCAAAGACTTCAGCCAGAGTGAAAAGCTCTGCGTGTTAGCCGCCCTGGGCCGGCAACATCTGTCAGGGAGTCTTATTTACCCCCCCCCCTCCTTCCCTCCCTCCTCCCCCCTCCCTCCGCTCCACGTCGCGCCACTCAGGGTAAACACTCGTGTGCCAGTTTTAATGAATCGCAAACGATGGCCATATGGACCAGCAGATCAGCCCAGCGCCAGGCAGGCTGCAGCAGACTGGGCTGGAAATCAGGCAGGGTCCTGCTCCCTTTATCTACTGAGCTTCAATCAGCTCCACACTCCCACACTAATGGAGGAATCACACACGGCTCAGGCACAGAAACCAGGTCGCTTTCTACACTGGCCAGCCATCCGGAGAATATGATTTGTTTGTTTGGGTGGGTTTTGTTCTCGAAAGCCCTTACTTCCATCGCCATACGCTAGCTAATATCAGAAGTGGAAGCTGCTCAAAGGGATATACTGGGAAATAACCTGGGGATTCCTAGGGAGCCTATTGGGAACAGGGAGGGTGTGTCTACGTTGTGTTTTGATGTTCTTACCTTGAGGAATGGAATGACAAAGGGACGCAGCGGGAAGTTGGTAGCCTCCTGGAGTTTGGAGTGGAACTCTTCTATGGTCAGGGTGGAATTCTGTCAAAAACCAAAGGAAGGGAGAGATTGGAACACTTGGAGAAGAACCTTCACAGTAAAACTAGGAGACAGACAGAGCTGGACATGGAGAGACAGAAAGAGATTTGGACACAACTAAGTAAGTACTGTAGCTCCAGAAAAGTAGGAGAATGAGTGGGAGAGAGAGACAGAAAAAAGGAGAGGGAGGGAGAAGAGGAGAGCAAGACTTACCACCAGGCCCAGCACCAGACTGCGGACTCGCTCTCCGATCTCGGGCGAGATGTCGTTGCCGAACTGCTGCAGCGTGGTGAGGAAGCGCTTGAGCTTGCAGAGCTGGCGGGCGCCGCAGGCCGGCGGCAGCTGCTGATTGGACAGGGAGGCGGTGGACGACATGGCGGGGCCGTTGCTGAAGCCGTTGGGTGTAGAGGGCGCCCCGTTGAGCGACGTGGGCGAGTGACTCGAGTGACTGCTCCCGTTCAGCACTGCAGGGAGAGAGAGGGAGAGAGGCCCTCCGTCAGTACCAGTCTGTTGTCCTCCTCCATCCTCCTCCTGTCCCTCTACCTCCTCCCCCCGGGCGCCATGCGCTGTGAGGGCGCCGGAGGACAGGGTCGAGGAGGGTGGTGAAGGCACATGCATCCTTAAGGTTGAGGCGGATAACTCCAGAGCACACACTAAGGCTGGGGCCAGGGCACACACTAAGGCTGGGTAAAGACACTGTTGGCTGCTACCCCGTACTCTGCTGCTCCTACTCCACCACGGCTCATACCCGTTTGAGTGAAGGCTCTGTGTGCAGTAACTTCAGCTGCCTCTCACAAGTGGGACCGTTTGACCCTCCCCCCTCCCACTACCTCTCCTCCCGTTCGCCAGTCTGTTTCTCCCTTTCGCTCACCCACTCACTCAGTAGGACACAACTATAAGAGGAACGTGTTAAAGAGGTGCCAAAAATAGGCCTGTGGCCTGTGTTACTTTATTCCAATAGCAGGTGTGTTGCTAAATCAGGCCTTGCACATGTCCACCAGCTGAAAGTAGATTTGCAGCTTTCAGGTTCAGGGCACCCCCCCCCCCCCCTCCCCCCCTCCCCCCCCCCCCCACTTGGCTGCCACACTCCTGCTCCAAACCCCTACACCACTCCCTCCGTTCCACTCTCCACCTTTGCCCTGCTTCATCTACTGAATGGTACATTACCCAATATTGGTGTCATATTCTTACACTCCATCCCCTGATATGTTTTAAGCTTAGTGGGCGGTATACCATATATACTGTATACCAGGGTATTTGGAAATATTGAAACTATTTATTAGAGGTTTTTCAATACATTTTAATATGTGTAGCTACTTTTTAAGTAAACACCTTTAGTCAACTTGTGCAATATGTTAGGAGATAAAGCAGATTGCGTTCTTCATTTCACCTGTCATATTATTTTACATTATGAAGCTAACCGTAGTTCCCCAGAACAGTTGAGCCAGTCACATGTTCGTTTGTAAACAGCACAAAGGGAGAACGCGGGAGCAGGTGAGTCCAGCTGTGTATTGACAGGGGTTGCGTTTTATATTGAAAGCCAACAGTGTTATTTTGCTTCAATAGAGTGATCAGGGATGTGCAACTATAGTTTCCTTCACAGAAAATACATTAGTGCAACACATTCGGCAGAAAATAGCTTCATTTTCATCAGATGATAACAGAAGTGCAACGCTATTTGGCTGGCAGCTAGCTCCACAAGTAAATTAGCTTCCAATGAAAAAATAAGGTATTTTTTGCAAAAACTGTGCATGGCCATCATATTTCTAATGTTTATCATAGAAAGAATGTAGCCAGCTACATTTCCTAATGTGCTTAAAGTTAATCTGGCATTTTACCAGAGAAAGGTAGGCTACACTGAGAAAGTTCCGGAGAAAAGCAGCGACACATCAGTCAGAGTCTGTCTGCTGATAGAATGCCCATTGGTGAATTCTCATCTGAGGGGAGAAGTGCAACTGAAGTACGAAAGTAGTCTGATGCCGAGCAGAAATTACAACAAGAAGCATTTTACATCTGCGTTTACAAAACGCAACAAGATATTTCTTAAGCGTTTTATCTTTCTTTCCTGCGTGAAAAACGCAGAATTCTGCATTAACACGACCCCTAAGTTAATGTAAGTAAGTGGCTGAACTAATAAGGTGACGGGGCATCATATTGTGTTAGCTTTCTGCCCTGTTTGAGAAGTCAAAGCCCTTTGGATGAGTTATCTGTACAGCTGCCACAATCTTGATTTCCTTGCGCTTCTTCTCCTCTCCCCTCTTCTCTGAGCAGAGCAGGCATGCCTGTTGCCCTAGCAACTCCAGACTCCACACAGTGTAGCCTACACATACTGCTCCAGAGCCAGTACTGTTCTTGCTTAAGACAAGCATGCATCAAAACTCGTTCACATTCGCTTGTAAATCGTCCAAACTCACCAAAAATGACATTCGGTAGCGCCTACCTATATATGTATACATTTATTAGCAGGATTGCCTGTCTCTGCAATTAGTTTATTTTCGTTTGCGCTCGTTAGCATATATGTAGCTAGCAGCCTCCATTGAAATTCTCTATTGCTGTGCTAATTTGGTTAGCATTCTGGTAATAGATGCCCAATGGGCTTTTCTTGCGTTTTTTGGTGCCACCTTGTGTACAAAGCCGGTAATACCGTATATCCCGGTATGAGAGAAGAACCGGTTATGACCTATGACCAGATAATATCCCGGTATGAGAGAAGAATGTAAAGACCGTATATCCCGGTATGAGAGAAGAACGGTATGACTGATGACCGTATATCCCGGTATGAGAGAAGAACGGTATGACTATGACCGTATATCCCGGTATGAGAGAGAACGTATGACATACGATATCCGGTATAGAGAAGACGGTATGACCGTATATCCCGGTATGAGTGATGAAAAGGATGGTATGAAGATCTGATACCCATCCCGGTATCAATCTTTCAATCTGCAGGGTCTTTAATTTCTCCCCCAGTTTGTTGGAGTGCATATGGCAGTATGCCAACAGTGTGTGTTACATGGTAGTGTTTGAATATATGTTCCAGTACACAGTTCCTCACATTTCTACCCTTGACTCTAATCTCTCCATTGGAGCCTGGTCAGCCCGCACACATGTGGGCTAACCATGTGACCCGCCACTTGTGTTCTGGTTTTAGAGGGGAGAGCGAGCTACACTGGTGACCGCCACAACAGGTGAAACAACACGGCATGTCATTGCTATATAGGGAAGAAAGTGGTCTGTAGCCCGGCGAGCCCAGCAATGCCCCCTGTATCACTACAGCCGGTAAACAAGTCCCACACACACACACACACACACACACTGAGACAATATCACAGCCATACTCACACATGCTCCAAGACACTCGTTCCACCAGGGAATTCTACACACACAAGTGACTGAAGTCTTGTCTTCGTCATGTTGAAGCGATCATCAGAAACACACAGCCAGGCCTATGGAGGCCAACAGCAGCCTGTAGCAGCCTGTTTCCCCTGCAGCCCAGGCAGGTTCCCTTCCTAACAGCCTAACAGCCTAACAGACGCAGAGGTAGAGCCGTGCCAATGACAGAGAAGAGCTGATGCAGCACTCCTACCAACTCACTATTCTGTTCACATCCTGCCCGGCCCAATGCTGCACAAAACACCTTCAAGATAGATACATAGTACTACCTTAGGGAATTTACAAGGTTCTTTATAAAGCTAGAAAGAGGATTCAGGTATTCAAGGGACAACACAGACATGGTAGCAATACAGAATAGTATTTTATGCTAGATAAGATATGATATAAGACTCGTGAAAAATAGTATTGTATTGAAATTGAAAGATAGCATGCCTACATATTTTAGATAGCCTATTTGGGTGTAAAGTGCAAAGTGCAAACAGAGAAATAAAGAATACAAAAAATGCCTTACTTGACCTACTGGTGGTGGGTGTGAATGAAGCGTTGCGATTGGGTGCCTGGCTGACGGCCGGGGGTGGAGGTGGCATTGTGGGCGGAGTCGACCTGGGCTGGGTTTTGACATCAGCAGGTGAATCGGGCATCGTTCCAACCTTCTGTTCTGTGCTACCTGCAGGAAAGAGAGAGAGAGAGAGAGAGAGAGAGAGAGAGAGACAGTTACAAAGAGACAAACATGAAGACACACCCAACACCAACAGTATATCTGCCCCCAGACGCAAACTTCCAGGTACAGAAGGATCAAAATCAGACCTAAACAAGCAAAAAATCTTAATAGCTAGTATGTATGTTTTGATCAGTGTTGCTACCATTATCTGAGACCCACTCATGACCCACTGATTTGATATGAGAGAGGATATATTGATGGTCTGGCTGTGAGGTCCTGTTTCTGCTGTAGAGACTCTGTGAACGATGTTGTCCTACAGCAGAGAGACAGAGAGATAGATAGATGGGGGCTTGGAACGACGAGCAAAATATTACAGCTCTTGGAGACATAAAGTAACAGCTGCTGGTCCGCTCCTGACATCCCTATCAGTGTCCCCCAGCCCCCCTCCCCACCCCTCAGCCCCAGTCCCACTGACACTTCCCGCCTGTCCCCTCTCGTCCCCCATATGGACAGGCGCTTGACAGTCAGTGACAAGTGCAGCTGGATCTGCCGCTGTCCATCACGGAGACACTTCCACGAGGCTGCAACGAGGCCCCCAGCCGGGACCAAACAAGGCAAGGTAGGGCTGCTCCGGTAGGGGACAGGAGGGACGGGACGGCCTGGAGCGGTCAGGTGGCATCGCCTTTTCCAGGAGATAGGACAAGGGCTGCTATTCCCCTGCCATCCCCTGCCGCCTCCCACATACATATACATAGGGACACACTGGCTTGTCACTGCCCAGTCCCCACACTGGCGCTCTTTCTGTCTCCTATTACGACCACAACAACACTCTTGTAGTTTCAGAGAGAAGGCTGTAAATGTCTGTCTGTTTTCTTTTTGATGTATTAAAAGGTATATTGATTGCAATCTCAAATACATCATGTTTACACGTAATCACATACTTTTCCATCCAAAATAATATATATTTTTGAAATAATATGGATAAAATGTAATAACCTTTGTAATATATTTTGCAGGGGCCATGCATACACATTCTCCAGTGAGAGTGATCAGCCCTGGTCCTATAGTGGCCCAGTGTTGGAGTATTTAGTATTAAATGCTCCATGGTAAACACTGAGTGTAACAGGGGAAGCAGCAGCCGTCTGAGGGATGTGGGTGGAATGAGATCCTTCTGCTACAAAAACATGAGCTGCCGAGTGTGATGGCTTTCACAGCCACGGAGAAGATAGCTTTACAGTGTGTGAGACCGTGTGTGCATTTATTCGAGCGTGTGTACGCACCGTGCTAATATATGTATATACCCTTAGAGCCCAGTACCCAGTATCTGCATTAGACCAGTACAGAGGCATGTGCTGAGGAGGAAGGTTTAAGCCAGTCTCTGGCCATGGTCCTGTCACTCAGTCTTTATCAGCTGTCTCTGAGTTCACTCCACTGTTAACTCCACTCGGACAGCAGGATCATGTCAGCCACGCAGGGAGCAGCTCGCCCCATAGACCGACAGGCACCCCACTAGCATGTAGTACTAGTACTCCTGGCCATGTTTGGAACAGACCCCCACCCTGCTGGAGGCGCTAAGCAGCAGCCGCTGCACCCTCCACTGTCAAGTGCAGAAATAACCAAACACATCGGGTCACTGCCAAATGAGCAACAGGAGGATAATTAGGTCTTGACCTCCAGGGAGAGCAGCTGCAGGACGGTGGAGGGTGTTGGGGGGGTAGAGGGGGGTGCAGGAGGGTTCCCGCGGTCCTCAGGGTTAAAGTGTTTCTGGGGAGGCATGGAGAAGTCACCTCCGCAGTCAGGACGGACTGGCGCAGCTCCTTACTGCTCCTCTCTCTCAGACTACTAAACTCAGTTATTCTGCTGCTGGCTACAGGCCCTCCCTCTCTCAACCCACCACCAGACTGGCTGAGCTTTATGTTTCACACCACAGACTCACAACTCCACCAGGGCTTGAGTTTCAAACGACGCAACCAGACCCCGGGCCATCAAACAACACAGCAGACACTCTGATTCACCTTTGGTCTCAAACTGAAATGCCAAGTCACAGACATTCAGTTTAATTAGGTTACTCCTGTTTGCGTTTTGAAAAATATTTAGCAGTAACCGTTGCATACGTAATCCCAAAATACTGTAGTTAATCAATGTGCTTATATGTAACCTAAGTGAATGATTCTGAGTGACATAAATAAATATTGCATAATATTGTGTTTAATTTGTACTATTTGGCATAAACAAAGTGCTCTACTTTTGGCCCTAGTAGTATGCTAATATTAAATAACCACGCAGGGCACACTGTGTGTTCCTGAGCAATGCTTTATGAATGGACCCCTTCCACAGTAGCACTGCCACAGTTGGCATTCTCCTAAACTCTTCTCTTCTCTGGTCTATTTCCATAGTTGCATGTAAAACTACTAAAAAGATGGGCTCATTCTAGTGTCATTCTAGATTCGAGGAGCTACAATGGCCGTTGACACTGTGACTGTGATCTTCTCTAGCACAAGGGGCGCTCGCCAGGCCACCGCTCCGATCCCCTAAACACAACAAGTGTTGGAGCCCTGCTGATAAAAATAGCCCCCCACCGGCCAACGCTCTGGAGCTGGTGGCTTCTGCCTGTGGGGCTGCCATGTCCCCGCTCCAAGCCATGGTCAAATGTAGACAGGTACCCTGCCTGGCCCTGTGCTGCACAGTTGGGCTGCCCTCCCCTCCTGCCTGCCTGCCTGGGTGTCTGTCTGTCAGAGAGAAGAGGAGGCAGGCAGGGCAGGGCTCGTCCATCTGTCACCACACTCAACAAACAGTCTTCCTGTTCAGGAGCTATTGTAGCTATACTGACTGACTTCAACAAAAACAAAACAACTAAAGAGGACCGCACACAAACACTTAGAGGCCTGGGTTCTTGTCACTTTTTTCCTTTACAAAATGCTTGTCTGTTTATACTGCATGACGATCACTGATGGGTCATTTCACTTGAATCCCATAATGTACACGCACTCTATTTTGACGATTGAAAAATCTTGACCCACCCTCTGTCTGTGATTTGATTGACACAGTGGATCTTTTTGACAGAAAGCATGCCTTAATCAGGGCTCTTAATTTACTCCTTGGGGAGAGTTCCTCCACATGGCAACTGCTGCTAGGGCTCCCGAGGGGTTCTGGGAGTGACCACGGCCTGGCAGGGAGGGCCGAGACTCCTGGGGCGAGGGGGAGAGAGAGGGAGGAGTCCTGCCCTCCTGGCCTGTCTGCAACTACCGTGGGATTACGGACAGCTGTTTAATCTGACCAGCTAAAGGAAACACATACACACAAGCACACACACACACACACACACACACACACACACACACTCACGCACACAACTCTGGATTTCACGTTTAATACATTAGAAAGTCTGCTCTGTCCGAACCCCCCCCCCATCTGTGGCCATCTGTGCTCCCATTGTGCTGAAGGACAGGAAGACTCGCGCCAAGGGAGAAACAGAGAGGGAAAGACAGAGTGAGATGGAGAGACTAGTAAGAGAGAGAGAAACAGAGTTGAGGGTCCACACCTCAACAGACTTCCTGGGTAGAACTGTCAATCACCCAGCATGTCCATCTGACCACAGTGTGTGTCCTGTTGCTTTCACTGTGTTTCCTCTGTCTAATTAAGGAACCATGGCATCAGAACACAACAGTGGATCCTGTTCAGGGAGAGGTACAGGACGTGCTGATCACTCCTCTTCTTCCTTCCACACAACCTTTTATCGCACACTCAAAGTGGATCTACACATGAATCAATACAGAAAATAGATTTTACCCAGGATACAACGCTGCTTCATAGACTCCCTGAGGATTTGGGGAGCCAGGCGCTGGCTCTGGCTTTAGCTGCAGCCCACAGTATGCAGTCAAAAGCTTTTGATAATTACACTGCTGTCAGTCTCTCCTGTACACAGCTGTATATTTCTCGTAATCACGCCTAAAAATGGCTTTCAGGGAAGGAACGGTCAGTCAGCAATCTGTGTTCTAAAAATGGTTTCAGTTAAGTCCTCTCAAACAAGATGAAAAACTATTCGCTGCAAGATCACACTCCAGTTTGTCATTTTGGAGCTATTTCTGGTTCTCTTTATAGATTTCAGGACATATGCTTTCACTAAAACCACCAAACACACAAGAAACCATCACGTAATGACAAGCCATTAAGAGCCCGGTTGGATACTGGTAGTCTGTCTCTGTACTCACACGGCCTATCCTTCACAATGACCATTAGAACAGAGCTACTGTACTGTACTTTAGATACGGACAGGCTCTGAGATGGTCTCTAGAGATCTTCTCTTGCTCCACTATCGCTCTCCCTCTCTCCTAAATCTCTCCCCCTGTCTCTAGCGCGTTCCCCTCTCTCCCCCTCTCTCTCTCCCTCTCTCTGTAATTCCCCCAGTCTCCAGGAATGCTGTTGTTTTTAATTTCTCCCAGCTGCTCTGGCTCAGTGCCCGCCCGCCTGCCTTCCCACATCTGCTCCCCATCAGGCCGCCGAGTAGTCCACACAAACACAGGCCTCACATCAAAACACGGGGATTAGAGCCCTGCGCCTCGGCCCCAGGACCCCGCACCCAGGGACCCCTGCACCCCTCTCCCTAGCCCCCCTCCAGACTCCCTGACTCCCCATCCCCATCGCCCCTCTCCTGACCCAGGGATTGACAGAGACCCAGGGCCTGCGCAGCCCCCTTAGCATGGGAGTGGGTGGAGGCACCATAAAGAATAGACTAGGTCTGACGGGAGGGGGAGGTGGGAGCAGAGGGATAGTGGGTTAGATAGTGATCAGACGTGCTGGATGGAGGATCCTGGCTGTGAGGATGATGATGTAAAGGTCCTGGCTGGGAGAACTCAGTCAACCTGTCTGAATGGCAGACATATAGATAGCTGGGCTCTCACTCTCCCACTCTCTCTCTCTGTGTGTTAGAAACCAGACTCGGGATCATCTTGAGCTGATTTAGAGTTCAGAGGCTTTAGGTTCACTAATGACAGGGTGGGAGAGAGCCTTGGAGAGAGAACACCCCCAGCCCCCTCCACAGGGATATACAAGCACGGAACAAGCAGACGCAAATAAACACGTTACCCTGTTGCTTGAGAATCGCTGCAATACTACACAGACTGGGCTGAACAAATATGTTTAGTGAAAACAAACATTCAGTGTGGAATAAATGTCTGTTTAATAATGGCGAACTGAAAGGCCCAGGGAGAAAATGCATGTGTGTGTGCGTGTGTGTGAATGTGTGTGTGTGTGAATGTGTGTGTGTGAATGTGTGTGTGAACGTGTGTGTGTATAATAGACGGAAAGATGAGCGCAGCAGGAGCCTCACAGCGCATACAGTAATAATTCACAGAATATATGTTAAAACCATTTAGGGTGTGGCGTCAGTGCCGTGGTGACCCATGGGGTGTGTAACAGCTGCGACCCCAGCTGTGTGGAAGAGGAGGAGGAGAGGAGAGAGGGATGAGGCCAGACACACTGGTTCCTGGGCTGACCTAGTTACCAATGAGATACTGGGCAGAGGACGCGAGCTGACCAGGCCAGACCAGGACAGGGTCAGTGTAAAACTGTCTTATACGCAGGAGAGATCAGCTCTCTCCTCGTCTGCACCTAGTCAGAGACACTGGCTACAGCAGTCAGATGTTTGAGACAGGAGGCATGGTCAGGGAGAAAGGCAGAAAAACATGGAAAACAAGGAACCAATACTACTACTCTCTACTCTCTACTTCTCTATTTATGTTGAAATAGGACTCACAGTCTCTGAATTGTTCAGCGCACCAGTGAGTATTCCCGTACGTCTTTGTGTTTATTCATATACTGACTACATAACTGTTTATTCCTCTACCTCTCTCCATTCTCCCTCCGTTTGCTGGTTCTGGGTAATGTAATGTTATTGGCGGTCTGGTGGAAAAGCCAGCTCTTGATTTGGAGTGTGAGGGAGAGGGTGACTTCAGCATGCAGGGTGATGGTGATGAAAATACCCTGTTGAGGGACCTGGGCTTCCTTCCCACCCAACACAACAGCACTTGTGAGACAAGTTTTGGTTCTCTGCTTCTCTGTACTTTAGTGTGCTTGTCATGTGGCGCTGACGGCTGTGATGACTGTTATTGATATAATTGTATTGAAGTCTAGCAGCCATCTGTTCTCTTCAGGGAGGGCGTCGCTCGGCAGTGAAGTGGTTACATGGAGCATATCGCAACTCACAGAAAAAACTTCCTTTTCACATTTTCCCAATGGCTGCTAATAAAATCCAGATGTTCCATGGAGCTCTGTTTCTTCCTCCCTCCCTCCCTCCCTCTCTCCTTCTCCTCCCTCCCTCTCTCCTTCTCCTCCCTTCCTCTCTCCTTCTCCTCCCTTCCTCTCTCCTTTCCTCCCTCCCTCTCTCCTTCTCCTCCCTCCCTCCCTTTCTCCCCAGCCGCTAACCCAGAGCCATTCCTAAATAAAGGAAAGTATTTGTGACATTCTGCCGCGGCGGCCCGTGCCAAGAACAACTCCCCGGCCTGGCCCATCTGGAGTGTGTTAGGACGGCACTGGGCACTGGCACCGGCCGAGACACAGAGACGAGTGTGCGGCCACTCTGGGGGATCACACAAACACACACACACACACACACACACACACACACACACACACCAACAAGAACTAACTGGCCTGTTGTTTGGATCCGTCAACATCCTAATTTGAGCAGAAAATACGGCCTCTGCAGTTTGCACCAAGCTTCTACACATACTGGCAACACAAGCAAAAGAAAGAAATGCTGGACTTCCAATCGTATCAGACAAGTCTACAGCTGTGTGCCCACAAGCAGCTAAGCCTTCATTCTCAGGTGGACTTGTTGCTGTGTTGTTTGTATTCTTGCTGCTGCTGTTCAATCAGACTCATTCAGCAGGGGAGCGCGCTCAGAGTGCGTGGAGCTGGCTGGCTGGCTAGAGGCTCCAGGCCCACTGTAAAAAGCTCACACCTGAACATCAATAACTGTCATCTCCGCCACCTGGGGACCGCCAGCGCCATGGGCACACAGCCGTCACCAGCACATCTGCCACCGCTGAGAGGGAGGGAGGACACAGAGCAGAACAGAGAAAAACACCAAAACATGGCGGATAGAGAGAGAAGAGAGAGTGGGGGGGAAGATACAGGGATATATGAAGTACACTATAAAGACATAGAAAGAGAGAGAGATGAAGAGACGTGGAGAGGAAAGGGTTGGGTAGAGGGAGGGAAAGCAAAAAAGAAGACATGGAACAAGAGAGAGAGAGAGATGCAGGGAGGAGAGGGGGACTTATTTGGCCCAGTTCCTCAGAGCAGTTCTCTTCTTTTGCTCCTTCTCACAGAGGCAGCCTCAGCCTCTCTCTCTCTCTCTCTCTCTCTCTCTCCTGCCAGCTGAAAGCTCTGCCTCAGGGTGCAACAACATTTAATTTGAGCTTGAAAAACGTTTAAATTAAAGTAATTTCTCTCTTCCACCCTCTCTGGACAACAATGAGGTCACAGTTCGACAGGACTACATCAGACCAGGCCTGACATGATGTCATTTCTCCCCAAATTGAGTTTATACTTAATACCTTTGCAGAACAACTTTGAATAAAAGTGTTTATATATATTATGATTAAGATTTATGACAATTTGATTAACGTTGGCAACTTTGGCCTATTTAACAGTAACGGTAATGGCCCTGCTTTCCCCTAAACACCCATATTATTCCAATTATGGGGGAAAACCGTGCCAAAAATTACCCTCGATCGGAATCTGTTTATACTTATGCACTTACACAAACA